ATTGGTAAATATTTTAATTATATGTTGTAATACGTAATGATTATTTGTATTCAACATCGTTTAAATGTTAAAAATTAGAACACAGCTATATTCAAAAACTGTTAAAAAGATAGAACTGTTTTTCTATTCTCTGCAATTTTTCCTGATGAGGGCCTCTGAAAGACGGCCGAAAACGTTTGAACATTAAAATTTTTTTGTTGTTCATTTGCTGGAATTATCATTTAGGTGTGAAGTGGTTGTTTTAGCTCTTGGTGTATTATATTTGCTACTTGATTATGTCTGTGTAAATAATCTGTCTGTGCCAAGAGTTTGCAACCAGAAGTGATGTGTTGTATGTTTCTGGCATGATGTGACATTTTCTGCATGTGTCATTTGTGAGTGTTGTATCTTTGAGTATGTTTGTTTTTTTTTTGTAGTTTTTAGTATTTATGATCTGATCCTGTATGGCAGTGTTTTTCAACCTTCTTGAATACGCAACCCCTTTACAAGTTAAAAAATTCTGGCGACCCCCCCAGGGCCATATTAAAACTATATCAGTGATTTTAAAAAGTATGTATTTAATTTTCTTTCTGTTGAGAGCTAAATATTGATTGAAAAACCAATTGTACTGTAAATTTTACAGTACAATTGATTTTTCAGGTTTATTTTACAGTGTAAAATAAACAGGCACATCCTTCTCACTGAAATTGTAGTTTTTTTTTTATTGTAGTCTAGGACCTACAAACACTTGTCTTTTTCTTTTACCCGCAACCCCCGTGTAAGGCTTTTCGACCCCCAGTGTCGACAGCAGTGTTTTTCAACGTGTGGGTTGCGACCCCAGGTTGAAAAACACTGCTGGAAGGATTCATGATTGCCATACGTCTCCCCAAAGAGGCATCCCTGATCTATCCAGCTGTTTGATGCAGTTTTCTCAACAAAATCCTGGGCTAGGTCATAAGGATGCCTGACATGGAGTGCCTTTTGAGCCCATGATTGCTTGATGGTGTCTGTGCTTTTTATATGTTGTCATGTCTGACACAACATATAAAAAGCATAAGTGTAAGTTTAATGGTGTGTTATTTGAGTCTGCTAGAGTTACTGCTTTATGTAACTGTGATATTTCTTGTTTTCTGTAGACAAACTCTCGCAGTGGCTGTATTTGTTTGTAGTGAACGTTTACTATGTTGATCAGGCCATGTTTGCCATCTTTATGTGGAAGGATTAATCTTTCTGTGGTGGAATTAGAATGATGTTGTTTATGCTTAGTAAGTGTTGTTCTTTTTTTCCTGTGGAGTTGCTCGAGATCTGTGTGAGTCCAATGTATAACTCCAAAAGAGTATGTAAGTACTGGGATGACATATATGTGTTTATTGCTTTAAATGTGTTTCGCATTTAACTGTGTTCTGAGGATAGCATTTAATCTACTTTGGTATTCTTTAATTAGTCTTTGCTTTATTTGTGTATGTTCTGTTAGTTTGGCCTGTTGGAATCCTAAATACTTGTAGAATTCACTCTCTTCCATAGATTCAATAACATCTCCGAGTGCAAAATCTTTCTTCAGGATTCCTTTTTCTATGTTTTGCATTTGTCTAAGCCAAACTCCATTTGTATGTCCTTGGTGTATGAATGTGTGATTTGTAGGAGTTGATGAAATTGTTTTTTGTGGATGCATAAAGTTTTATGTCGTCCGTGTACATGAGATGTGACAACATAAATGTGTTGTTTTTTCAAGTCTGATATTGTAGCCATATTGCATGTTATTTAACATGTTGGTAATGGGTTCAGGGTTAGGCAGAACCAGAGAGGACTCAAGGAATCTCCTTGAAAAATTCCTCACCTAATGAATATTTGGTTATTATTATTACTATTATATTATTATTATGAAATGGACATCAACATCTGCAAGCAAATTTATTTTGCATTTAATTTCTTAGAATACATAAAAACGCGTGGCTTGTAGTAAAGAATAAACAAACATTATCTTATTTCATCAGTGCTGCGGCAGAGAATGAAATACAAGCATAAGAAACACAGCAACTGTGATAAAAATATATAAATAAAACTTGACAATTAATAGAATATGTAAAAGTTCACGTCACACCTTTCACTTTGTAATGGCACACCAGTTGCGGAACACTGTTATAGGCCACCATATAACTAGATTGTTATTCAAATTTAAAACATTATTTTATATATTCAAAATACTTTTCAATTTTAGAACCTGAAGATTTTAAAAAAATTTAGTCTCACTCTTGTCAATATGTTTTCCAACATTAATGTAAAAACTGTTTTCTTAAAAACATTTTTATGTCTTATAGTATAGGTGGAGAATCGCTTGCCGTAGCTCAAAATACGTACGCAGTCAGATGGTTTAAAGAAAAAGAATTAAATATGGTGTTTGGTTTGCAGTTGAGTTTTGCAAGAGTTGTAAGTGTATTTTAAATTTATTCATAAAATATAAGACAGTCTAAAACTAATCTAAAATTAAATATTAATGATATTTGATGGGTCGGAGAAATAATACAATGTAAAACAATTAAAAATCCTGAACAAAATGTATATTTAAAAATACAAAAGTATACAACATTGAAGACTTACACCAAAAAAAATCTTTTAAAGTCTTCTAAACATCCATTCACAATCACTAGAACATAATTAATATCTGCAGAGTCAACTTTTCTTTATAAGATCTTCCCTGTCTATACTTACGCAAGTTCCTGTGATGTCAAAAGGTCGACTCCACTAGTGTTAATTTTGTCTCGGTGATTGTGAATGGACGTTTAGAAGACTTCAAAAGATTTCCTTTACATATATCTTCAACATTGTGTATTTTTGCATTTTTAAATAATACAATGCATTTTTTTAAAATAGTATATGCAGTACAATTGCTCTCAGACTAAAAACATACACGAAAACCTAAAATATTAGGGATTGTTTAAAATGTATGATGTGTAAATCATATTTTTTTTGTATATTTTTAACTTCTATATAATTTTTAAACTAACTGTTGATTAAATATTTTAAAATCTTTTTTCTTAATATTTTGTAAATCTCTCCTAATGTAGGTATTAGAAAATGTACTCTTTATAAATAACAAAAACTAATTAGAAATGAAAAACAAACTAAAATTTAAGTTTTTATTTATAATTTATTTAAAATTTTAATTTAATTCTTTGTTAATTTATTTAATACATTTTAATTTTATAGGGAAGTTCTGTAAATTTTTGGGTTATGAGTCACATTTACAAATGGATTAACAATTATTTTACTGGCTACACGTGTTTAGGGATTGTTCTTTTTATAGGTAAGTTTCAAATAATGCAGAATTTCAATTTTTCCCTAATAAAATAAAAAAAAATTCTGTATTTGCATTATTTTTGAAATGCAAAATAGTTATGAAATTAATTATATAATAGCATAAACTATTAAATAGTAAAGTTAAGAAGTAATTTATTATTATTTTTTTTTTTTTTGCATAAGTCACACACAGACTCTTTTATGTACAGTACAGTAATACTTCCGGCACAGATTTTAATAGATCTTAGCTAAATGAAAGATAACAAACGATGGCCATTGAAGCAACCAAAAACATTTATCTTCTGTTTATCTAACATCTGTTAAAATCCGTTGTTATATAAACATCTCAAAGTTCGATATTTTGTAATGAAACAAACAATTGCTGGATTTAAATCTAGCTACTTTACCACTACTACAGTAGAGCCCTGCTAGTTTAAACTAATTGGGACTGAGTCCTGTTGAGATTAGCAGATTTTCGGATTAGCCAAATAATTGAAATAATGCAGAAGCAAGCAGTAAAACAGGAATGGTTTATATAGATTCAACATCATCATCTCCCCCACCTTTTATTTCATCTGTCTTGTACTCAAACAGTTAACAAAAACAAGTTTCGTAATTTTGAAATGGCATCCTGCCTTCATTGTTTACATTAAAATTATTTTAACTGTAAAAAACATTGTTTTTAATACACAGTCCAGAATTCCAGTCAGATGACTGATGCTACTGTGTGAGTTAGCACGATTAATTGTGGATGCTGTATGTACTCTTTGCTCTACGTTATTTTAGTTTAATTTAGTCTGCTGCTACAACAGCCACGAAACAGAATTGCACAATGTGTACGTTGAAAGATAAGCTGGATGTTTTGAAAAGGCTAGACAAGGGTAAAGTGCAGAGAAATTGGCAGTAGAGTTTGGAGTGGGCAAGGCCACAATAACCGACTGGAAAAAAATGCACAAAGATTGAGCAGTTATGTGCCTCTACTTCAGAAAAATCAGTTGAAAATTGACAAACAGCAAGGCCCTCAACATTTGACATGCTTGATGAAGCCTTGTTCATGTGATTTACTCAGGAAAGAGAAATGGGAACACTCCTAAGTGGACCTCTTGTTAGAAAAAATTTCCTCTCCACCGTCTGAAAATGTTCGGACTAGCGGGACTCTACTGTATTTAATAATTAAATACCAAGTAATTTGTTACTAGATGTAGGCATTAGGTGCCATCTCTTATTAAATTAATATTTATTAAATAATTTAGAATATTTTAGAAGAAAAGAATTGGCCTGGAGCAGGACTCAAATCTATAACTAATATATGGTGCCTAATGCCTACTTCTAGCACCAAATTACTTAGTATTTAATTATTAATAGTAGTGGTAAAGAAACCCAATTTAAAATCTGCACTGGAACTAGTACATAAAAAGAATGTGTGTGTGTTTTATGAACTATTCCAGCTTTTGAAAGTAGTCTTAGTCCAAAGTCTTTTAAAAAAAANCATACATTATCATATTATCTTCATATTTCTGCAATACGTTATTTTCCAGAGATCTTATTACCATCTCGCACAATAAGCCTGAGACCGGGCTACCCATTGGTACTCCTCTAAGCTGCGAGTATGCAGTACCGTCAAAGGCGAAAAATGACGAGAATGTAGCCAAATGCGCCAGTTCTAGAATTTGCTTTCTTAACTTCGCTGCGTTCTCTACCTTGCCCAATAAAAAATCTCTTAGGTGACAAAAGCATGGTTCAAGCTTAACTGAAGGGTACATAGCCTTAAAATCGAGCAGAGGTTGAAACAATTGAAAGTTAATGAAACAAGCTACATGACAGTGCTCGATTTTAAGGATTAGAGCTTATACATTTCTAGTGTGACATGTTATCTAGAAGGTTGATTTACATTGTCACTTAGGGGGCTGTCTATAAATTATGTCTACATTTTTCTTAAAATTTTTATTCCTCCTCTCCCCTTGTCCCAGTTTGTCCAAGTTCACATAATCCCTTCCCCTCTTCAGGCATCCAACAAAACTCAACTCTCTTAAAACCATTATCACTTTATGAACAAGACATATCATAAGTAGAAGCAAAACATACAAGAAGTTTTGAAATATATATAATAAAATGCATAAACTGTTTAAAATTAAATGAAATAAAATGGACGTTCCCCAAACCTCAACCCCTCCCCTCTTGTCTGACTTTATCCAACTTGTCATAATCCTCTTCCACCCTTTCAGTGGAGATGTCATTTGTGGACAGTCCCTTATTGTTAGGAAAGATAAAACTTAGTTTACATTTTTTTTTTCAGTCATATAAACAGCACTTATGAAAGTATCATGTTTGGTCCAAACTGCAAAGGATACTAATACAAAATATGAAAAAATATTAGTGAATAAAGACAACAATTATCTTATAACAGGAAAACAAAAGATGAATGTCTTCTCTCATTCATATATAATTAAAAGATATTTTATTAATTTGTGCCCCAATTTGTGGCAGGTTGAAATGCTACCACAAATCAGTGTGCTTCTATTCTTCAGGATTTTATAGCAACTTTAAGTTAGTTTAAGTTAGTTTTTAATGTCGTACCGTATTTTTGTGGATTGTTTGGCATGTCAGTCTATCCGGGACATCACAAAATCAGATACTTTTATGAGATAAATATCGGCATGCTGGTTTAAGCGAGGTTACACATACCTTTCCAGAGGACACGTGAAACTCGTAGACGCCAGTTTTTATTCTAAAATTAGGAAATTGCCAGCATTGCATCAAAATAATGATTATATATTTAATTTCTCCATTTTGTCTTCTTTCTAACAATGTAAAATACTTGCGGAATGTCAAAAGTGCTTTTTTATGTTTATTTTATTTAATTTGATCCAAAAATGCAAAAATAAGCATGAAATTTCAGAAACTCTCTAAGTTATTACAATTTACATGGATTAACATGGCTTTTTGTGAAATTTGAGAGGAAGGTGTTATCTTTCAGGGTCAGGGTAGATTGTAGGTTGCAGTCCACACTGACTAACTATTGTTACTACTAACAACAATAAACCTCTAATTGTTTTATTTCCCTGTAAACTAAAACACTCTTCAGTTAGTCAAATTACAATGATATTATTTTATTGTAAGGGGAAGAATATTTTTTTTTAACATTTATTTAACAAGTAGTTTTGTTAGATCTGATTAATTTTATTTTTTAGTTGCAGCTTAATCAGCATGCCAGTAACCCCAAGGTTTCCGGCATGCTGATTGTCTCCAGTCAATCTGCAAAAATACGGTAAATTAAAGGACATTGATAAACTTAATAATAAATATATTTTAAAATATGATCTGTGAATTCTAATTATTATTTATATATAAAAAAGAATTTTAATATTTTTTTTTTTAGCTTCGAGCACTTGTTTGCTATCACTCTTATGTGCTTTAATTTTGGGATATTTCGATTGGAGGGCCGAGAAGATCCTTGAAAATTTATCGAATGATACAGGTTAGTTTTCAGTTTATGTAATTAAACAATTCTGATTATTATTTTGTATGTTTATGTAATGTGATATATTTTTTAAAATGTTTAGCTCCATTAACATGTTTAACTCCAAAATATCTACTTATTCAAATCTTATCCTATATTTTATAGAAGGTAAAAATCTTTTCATCTTGATTTCCAAGAAAGCAATGGCTGTATGTGCTATGGAAAGTTAAGAACTTCCTTATAAAGATTCAAAATTTGTTCTCCATTACTATAACAATTCTGTAGATTAAAAAAATTTCTATAATGCTTTTATTTACAAATTTTCAAAGAATATATAATGTATAATCTTGAGAAACGTTATGTTTGATTTCTATGCAATCGTATTTGATTTTAGAAGCTCTGTTCTCGATAATAATGTCATACTCGAAAGCTTAAGAATGGTTTCTTTTGTTCATGTTTATAGAATTTAGTACATTTAAATAAAGCATTTTTTTCTGAAATTTTTATAACTGTGGAGATTTTCTTTTCAGAAATATTAAAAGAAGGATCAAAGCAGTCATCAGATAAAAGCTGTTGTCTTTTTTATTTTTATCATTTAGTTCATATGAGCCTTTGATCTTTGACTGGAGCTTTGGGGCTGTTGTTTATCTAAAGATTTGGTTTGTTTTTATAGAATGGGAAGTTATCTTTTAATTTTGGGGCTTTAATCTTACTTTTAACTAGTTTTCAATGTTGACATTATTTTCAGGAGGAGTATTTGAATGGGGATCATAGTTTACTTGTTGTCTGTGGATATAGAGCAGAGATGGTTTTGTTTATTGTTTCTGAAGGTTTTTTGTGTTTTCTGGGCTTTTTTTCTTAGAAGTTTAGCTCCATAGCTGGAGTTAGTTTTAGTTTGGATGCTTCTTTTTATGGTTAATCTTTCAGCAGTGGGTTAGTCAGGTATGGTGCTATCCATATGTAGCGGAGAATAAATGTGGGTAATTTTTAAGTATTTTTCTATGCGTTTTTTTTTTTTCTTATTACTGTTTCAGAAAAAGATTTTGTAAACAGTTATGTCTAGTAAAGAAAATTCTTTTTTTATTGTTACATAATTTTTTTTTTATGTGAAGTTTTTTTGGCGGTAGTGTTTGGATATATCCAAAAAATTCTTTTGCAGATATATCCGTCCTTTGCCACTGCCACACGATCCCCCTTGATGGATATATCCATCGGTCATTGCTGAGTGGTTAAAGGGTTTAGTCCCTTCCATGTCCTGTTGTTGAATACTTCTATTTTATTGGCTTTGGAGGTTAGCACTTTTCCGTATTTAGATACATATCATTCTGACAATAGCAAAGATGATGGAATAAACTCTTCAATTTATAGAATTTCTTTTGAGAGGTCATTCAATTAAAGCAATATTTAGATGTCATCAATTTATCCACTTTCCAATCTTTAAAGTTTTAGTTTAGTCATATCCTATTGATTTATTTGTTTTACTCAAATTAAAGTTTTAGTTTATTTGTTTAATTTAAGATCTGGAGTTATATATATATCTGTTATCTATATAATTTAATAAATAATATTTTTTACATAATAAATTATAATCAAAGACATAATTTATTTTATCTTCATTCAGGAGAAGTAATAAGAATTAAAGATGTGAAAGATTTTCCTTTAACATTTTGGCTGTTGAGTATTATCTGTATAGCATATTATGTGGCTATATTCCCCTTCATTGCGTTAGCCACGTAAGTAGATTTTTTTATCATTTAAATTTTTACGATTTTAAAAGAAAATAAAAATAGCAATGTTTGTGAGTTTGTATATTTTAATTAGAAATCAGATTTTGAAATACATTAATTAAAACTTACATAAATCAGAATTACATGGCATCAGATTATGATTTTCTATTTTGAACAGATTTTAATATATTTTTGCTTTTTCATCATTAAACTACAATAGATAAATGCCAGAGTTATATTAATTTTTACAGTAATATCACTTCTACGTATGTGCTTACCATTGGCCAAATTGGATAAACAACCGAGCGTTGGTAGTTGGTTGCGGGTTTGCATCTTGCCAGCAGGCTGGCCACGTGGAGTTTTCTGGATTTTCTTCATGTTTCTAATACCTAAATAGGGGTCAGTTTTTCATGAAAAGTCCTCCCGGGTGGCATTTCCTTGGCAGATTGTCCACATATCCCATTGCCATAACCAAGTACAGTGGAACCCCGGTTTACAAACTCCCTGGTTAATGACCAAATCAGTTAACGAACTTTTATTTTGCAAAAATTTTGTCTCAGATAACAGACGAAATTCGGATAATGAACATAACATTTTTTGTTAAATTTTAATTGCTGTTAGGCATGTGCGAGTTAAGCATTGCTTTTCCAAGTGTTTGTGATAAACTTCTTTTTTCAGTTTTGTGATTTATATATTTAATCAATATGGCATCCAAGAAAGAGAAAAGTGATAGCACATTGTTCTTTTCTATTGCCACTATCACATTTGAGAAAAATTTTGATTAAAAGAGTAAGACAATCAACTTTAGATCAATTTCTTGTTCCTTACCAAAAGAGAACTCGACTCAAAGAATCTCCCAATGAAGTGCTACCCGTTATTGTTTTGGAGGGAAATTCCCCTTCTAAGCATTTAGCTCCGTATATCTCCACTCCTCTGCCACCAACTACAACAAACTAAAGTATGTACAGTGCTATTTTATTAAATAAAGTTTACATGTTTGTTGCCGTAATGATAGATACTATGTTTTCCTATGTTTTCATCAAAGAAAATCTATATTTTACAAATAAAGTCAAAAATTTTGGAGGCTAGAATGGATAAATTGTATTTGCATTAATTTCTATGAGAAAAATTGCTTTGGTTAACGAATGGAGTTGCGGAACGTATTAAGTTCATTAACCAGGGTTCCACTGTAAACCACTTTACATATGTAAAAGCATACTCAGCTTAATGAAAAGTGATTTCCAACTAAAAATGTGAATATTTGAATACAAGAATCAAGAAATATTCAATTGCAAAAAGTTCTCTTGTTTCTAAGAACTTGTGCTAGATATTTGAATACTTCTTTGATGTAATTTTACTACTATATCCAGGTTAAATTACATTCTTTGTACCTAAAAATCTCTTTTGTCTCTGAGTTGGACCGAAATTCTATGTAAAATTTAACATGTTCTATGTAAAATTTAACATAGAAAATTACTCCATTTTCTATTCTATGATTTTTATGTAAAGAACGAATGCAGTGTGTAATCAAATAGTCAAATCATGTTGTATTGTTAATGTTGAACATTAAGTCATTGAGAAAAATAAACAGTATTGAATGCATTGGGAATTCAAGCAGTCCCTACAAGCAGATTTAAATGATATTAACGTTTTTGCTGAATTTACCAATGTAAATTCCATCAACGAATACCAGAAACATATAAAGAATAGTCGTACTATTAGACAAAGTTTCAAATCTGTATCTTTTTTATTTATAAGACTTTTGTAGATAGTTCATTAAAGATAGTACTTTATCAGTCTTCAGTTAGTTGCCAAAAATTTCACAAAAATTACTGATTGAGAATTGGTTAAGTACAAGGGCATTCAACAAATAAAAAAACATTTGCACATAGCACTATGCGCAGGAAAATTACCACCATCGATTCGAGGTCAATTTGTTCTGTGTTAACAAAACTCTACATGTGATAAGCTAATGGCAGGCTTACTGTTACTGTTTTATCAAGGGTTAAAATGTGTACAAAAATCAAAAATCATGCCAGGTGTAAAGTGTTTTTCTTTTTCTAAACACAAAAAAAATTTATCCTTTAGAAATTCATAAACAAATCATGAAAGTGTATGGTAATCACATTATGAATGACGCAAGTGTGAGAAAATGGTGTTTAATGTTTAATCAAAGTAGATAATGTGCAAGTGCACTCTACTGCAGACACTCAAGCTGTGATTCTGAAATTTGACTGGGACGTTTTTGACCACCCTCTGTATAGTCCCAAACTGTCCCTCGGTGACTTTCACTTCTACCAAACTGTGAAAGAGTTATTGAACATTTTGGAATTGATGACGAGGTGAAAGCTGTCACTAACTGGCTATGGATGTCTGTGACAAAGGAATTCAAAAATTAGTTGTGCTGTGACGAGTGCTTTAATTGTAGTACTGACTACGTAGAAAAGTAATTGGTCTTGCACTAATTACTTAATAAATCTTTTTTCCTTTTTCTATAGCCAAACATCTTTTATTTTCATGGCACCCCTCATACTTTTAAATATAATTAAATCTTTATCTTTAAGATATATTTTTGTAATTATTAATTAATTATAATTTTAATTTAATAATGTTGCACATTATTTTAATCTACTTTTTATTAAATTGCTTTTTAAAAGTGTAAAAATTTTTAATATTGTGTTGTTTATTAAATACAAATATTTGTTATAGATTAAAGAGTAATTTATTGTTTTTATGTAGGCCTTTAAATGCGATAGAATGTGTTTTGATTTATTTATAAAAAATGTAGATAAAGTTTATTAAAAATTTCTTTTTGTTATGAAAATATAATGATAAATTTTTATTTTTACAGTGTTTTCTTTTCGAGGAAATACATGTTTACGCAGGAAGCTGCTAATAGTCTAGATAGGTATACTTTTTAATTTATTAAAAGTATTTAACTATAAATATCACTACATTGAGGATAAAAGTAAATGTATTTATAAAATGTTTAGAGAAGTAAATATAAATACAATGGAATACTATTTATCTGACTCAAACAGGACCAGGTTGATCCAGCTGACTAAAAATCAGGAAAATTCATTTACACATAAATGCATCTGCAAGGTATGCAGTTGTGGGTTCGAGTCCCACTTCAAACCTACAGCTGCATATCATACAGATGCATTGCCAATTACGCTACCCAGATCTTCATCTAACGTTCACTTTCAGAGCTGTTAATTACTTTACATCTAATTTATTAAACTCAGCCTTATTAAATAGCCTGATAATATACAGATTGTTTGTTTTTTTAAAAAGCATTGAATTAAAACTTTAAACAAAAGAAAATTGCAAGGTAAATTAACTATATAATCAGAGAGAGAAGTTGAATTAAGCCTTTATTATTTGCGATTAATTATTTATTGTTGACTTTATTTATTATTGTTAGTGCAATTTTCTGAAACATTCAAACTAACTTTTATAAAATATATTTTTTAATATTGTTATTACTTAATATCATTATCATATAGAATATATTCAATATAACAAGCAAATTAATTTATTTTTTACAGCATAGTGTATATAATATCGGCAGCTGCATCGCCAGTGCTTGGATTTATCGTCGATAAACTCGGATATAATCTTTCTTGGGTTTTAGCGTCTGTTATTATAACACTAAGTTCACACATGTTATTAGCCTTTACATTTTTAAATCCATGGGTAGCAATGGTAAGCTTTTCTGTATTTTTAATAAAGTTCAATCTGTTTACCTAGTCATTAGCATATCATTTATAGTATAGGCAGGAGTGGTGTTTTGTGATAAAGCTTCATTTATAAATTTACTAAATTTAATCTGTGGAAAATAATGATTTGTGAAGAACAAGTGGGTATAGTCGTAAAGACAGAAAATGAAATCGGAAGATTCTTAAAATTTAAGTCATTAATGCAATATATTCAGAAATATAACAGATAGCTGGAAAAGAGCAGCATTGAGACAATGGAGAAATGTATGGACACTAAAGAAAGTTTAAAATTATAAACCACCAGGAAAGAGAGAGTGACTGACTGTAGCAGGCTACTTGGCTTAATACATGTTTGTTTTTTTACCTTTCATTCTTGCGTAATTTTTTAACTTCAAAATATTCCTAAAAAATATAAATAATAAAACTTAGGTCTGTGTATAATCAACTTTTATTTTTAAATTATCAAAAGAATTTTAAATATATTAATTAAAAAAGATTAAAATTGAAGTTACATAGTTTATTTGTATTAATATATTTTTCAGAAACAAATAAATCTTCTTAAATAATTATGAAGAATTGCATAAGGAAATATTTAAATGATATTATACGTAGAATTTAATCCTTTTACAATTCCAAAAGCTAAACTCTTTTCAACCAAGTAAAAATGATTATTTTTCATGGCATTTTAATAATAAATTTTTGTGTAGACAGTAAAACCTCGATTTAACAGACTAATTTGGGCAATGGAATTGCCATTAAAACTGTTAAGTCTGTTTATTATATAAAGTAGGTTTTCAAATGTGCATATTAAAAAATTGACAAATTAGTTCATTTATGTATTTTTACTTAATTACACAAACATATTAATGTATGTTTGAGAGGTTTAATTTCAGAGAAAGGTTTCTATATGTGTTATTGCTTATATACTCACCTTAGTTCTGAGACTGTAATAAGAAAGTATACAATCTAAATCAAAATAAATAATGTTCTTAAGAGCAATGACTCATGTATCTAAAAAAATATATATAACCTGTTAATTTAATTACATATAAAAACATTTTAAAATTAACAGGGTGTTAATTTTCTCATGTAACATATAGACCAGAAATTTTGTTTGTTAAATCAAGGTTTTATTTTAATTTATTTAAAAATGTATCAGTTTAATGCACTTAATAATTGAGCTGACCATTAAGAGTACTTCATAAAACCTGCTCAAATCAGTACAAAAAGTATCTATAGAAACATTCTCAATGAATTTGCATAAAATAATTTATATCTTGAATTTTGGGATATTTATATCTTAAATTTTGGGATATTGACAACAAATCCATATAAGAAATTAAATAATTTTAAGTAATTAAAATTATTAAATTTATTATTCTAATGCTTAAAAATCTTTTTGAACATAGAAATAATGTACACTTTTTATTAATAGATTAAGACATTGTGAAGTGAGTTAAATAATTTATTTTATCAGAAGTTCTTATCATTAAATAATGTATTTGATCTTTGTTTCATTATATCTTTTACTAGGTTATAATGGGCGTAGGATACTCACTTTTGGCTTGTGCACTTTGGCCTATGGTTGCTATTGAAATTCCGGAACATCAGTTAGGTACTGCTTATGGAATGTAAGTGATGTGCTTTTATTTAAATTTCTAAGTTGTTATTTTAAAAATTTATATTGTCAAATATACTTAAAAGATAAAATAATGTAGAAATTTAATTGAAAACTAAACATAGTTGATTCTCTAAGTTGAAGTGGGAGAGAACTTAGATTCTCTAAGAAAATTTCAAGTTAGACCCACAAATTTAATAGAAATCTAACTGTCCAATAAATCAGTAAGATGTGAAAATGTACAGTTTTGTAAATTTAAAAACAGAATACTAGCTGTAAGATTTGATTGGCCATTTTAAATCATTGCATAAAGGCAATGACTTAAAATGCCCAATCAAATCTCCACTTTCAAAGTTATGTATGTACAGATTATTTTGTTTTTTGTATCATGGTTTTGGAGGTGATAACATGTCATGTAACTTTGTATGTCTTTGAGTATATATAATTAAATGTTTGTTTATATGTCAAGTTTGTCGTAATGTCATCCAGCTCCTTGAGAGCACAATAGAAAGTATAGAAAATTACACACAAGCTTCTTCAGATCTTAACTTTTGAGTTAGCAAAATGCCTTCAAAATGATTTCAATTTATAGAGAGACAAAATTTATTAAGTTTAAGTGTCATGTAGCGATGGAAATAAAGTTTGACTTAAGTCGTGGTCACACCTAGCAATTTCCAGCCGTGCAGACAACTGCCACTGTGATGGCTGTTCTCATTAACTAGTAAATATCCTTTGAAAATCAGCGCGACTGCAACTGTGAATAAAAACAAAAACTTTGTTCTACTTGTGCCGATTGCAAATGCGCATCCGATAAGCGAACGCCTTTGGCAAACGTCATATGGTGACAACATTGAAAATAGTTTGTCATCATGGCGGAAAGTTAGAGGGTTGATACTCTAACTTTCAGAATCGAGATTGATTGAGCTTATTCAGGCTCATGAAGCTTGTGCGATTTTAATTCTTTGTTTGATCGAAGATTTTCTCTTTGTGTATTCTCACCAGCTCTATCAAACTGGTTGCCTTTTTTCTTTTAGTCATTGCAGAAAAGAAACTGCTTGCCATTTTCATAAGAAAAATGGCTAAAATTCTGTATATACTCTGAAATAGAACGAAAACTATTGGTAAACTTACGAAAGTAGCCAAAATCAAGCTACTGTAACTTTATTGGTTTATTATAGGGTCACATGTTTTTAATTTGCAATTCCAATGAACAATGTGTGACCACGAGAAGACGTGCGTGACTCGTGCTTATTGCAATTGCGGTTGCCCCTGCAGCTGAAAATCGCATGGTGTGACCATGGCTTTACAAAAGATTCAACTTATTGTGTCATCTGTTGTATTTTCCTTGAATAAACCCCAGGGAATAAAGATGCTGTTAAAAATAGACACTGGGTTGAAAAGCATGGAAAACATGTTGAATGCTATTATTTAGAGTAATGTAGTATAGAGTGGTAGATAAGGAGTTTAACTAAAATACTTGTGTGAAACGGAAGGTGATTTGCAATAAATTACAAGAACTTTTTAAAATGGCAGCAAAACTTTCAACTTAAAATAAAATTTTTATTCTTTCAATTTAATTTTTTAAATCTAACACATGCTATTTTCTGCATTTTTTTTTGAAATTCCACATCACACTGTATGCAGTGCTAAGGATGATTGGTAAAAATATGGTCATGTACACTTGGAATTATAGGTATTGCATGCTGATTGGCTGTGATGGAATTGCATACTGTCCCAGTATTTTGTCACGAAAATACTTAAAGGCAATTTTACTGCATATGAGCAGTGATAAAGGCAATTAATTGCCTCAGAATTGCACTAAGTCGAGAGCCAGCATTAACAAAACCAAGAAAAAGCAGACTGGAATAATTGAGCCATTTACTATCTATAAATTATGTACTGGCTTACAAGACAAGGTTAAAATTGCAGCCTATATCTATTAAATTGCAGCCTACATCCTGACTTTTAATTCCTACATCCATACTCCTGACTTTTAATTCTAAAATTCAAAAATGAAATTGGGAAAAATTCCTTAAAAATAGAAAATGTTTACATATTAAGAACTGTTTAGAATGAAGCTGTAAATTCATTGTCAATAAAAATATCGCCACGGACCGTAAAATACGTAATACATTGCATCTGTTGACAAGAGTTTTTACTATCTAGTGTGGGAGAATATTAATGATCAATAATAAATCAATTGTAACACTGTTTTGGTTGGTGATAGTTTGAATGTTTAAGTTTTGAACAACTTTCTGTTCTAGAAGATTCTTGCTTCTCTGTAAGACAAAAACTTCAATTTGTTAGATAAGTTTTTAATTTGAATTATTGTTTTGATTATTTGAGATTATGGAGTAATCTAAGCAAAGAAAGTATGAAACAAAAAGACGACAAGAGACTGATGAAACAAGGAAGATGTTTATTTCTTTGGCAAGTTTTTTAAAACATTTGCAATGAGGACAGGAATTGCTCATTAGCCATAACTGGAAAATTATGTTGCAGAATGGATGCTTGCACGAAAATTAAACAACAAAAATGATTGAAATCTTTATTAATTTATGTTAAATAGTTTGTGTAATTGTTTAATATCATTCTTGAATACTTAATAAGTCATCACGTTTATTCAAATATATAATACTATTATTATCATTTGCTTTGTATCTAGTAGAATTCATTATAATTTTGGTGCTTGGCTATTCTATCCAATTTTCCCTAGATTGTCTCAATGGTTGACAGAAGACAATTCTTAATTAAATGTCGGATATTATATGAAGTAAGAATTGTTTTCTGTGTCAACCATTGAGACAAATCTAGTGAAAATTTGGATAAAATAGCCAATTACCAAAATGTATATAATACGAATTTACATACTTAACATCCCAAAAAACCCATTACATATATACTCAATAAATGATTTGCCTTAATCAATCAGGCTCTAAATCTGCCACTATTAATGATTTAGATACTAAGTAATTTGCTACTAGAGGTAGATGTTATGCATCATCTCTTATCTAAATTAATAATAATAATTTTTTAGTAATTTATTAAATAATTTAGAACCATCATTAATTAGTAGTGGATTTATAGCCCAATTAAGGCAAATCATTTTGTTGAATCTAATTTACAAGGATAAATATAACATATATATTATAGTATTCAATATTATTATAAATGTGGATATTTTTCCCTCAAACTTTCTCAAATTACTATGAAATATAATTTAGCATTTATTTAACTAGAATAAATAATAATCTATTATTTACTTTTGTATTATTTTATTATTTCAGAATGCAATCCATTCAAAATTTAGGACTTGCCGTGGCATCACTATGCGCTGGATACATTGTAGATCAAAAAGGATATTTATTTTTAGAAGTGTTTTTCCTTGATTGTATATGTAGTAAGTATTATTTATTTAAGAATGAATCAAATTTACATAAAAAATTATTTTACTTTTCAATATTAGAAATGTTAAAATTTGAGCTTGTTTAGAATTTCAAGTTATTTGCGTAATTTTAATATTTTCAGTGAATAAATTTGGCTTTAAAATAAAGCAAATCACTAACGGTTGTGCACATTTAAGACATTGAAATGTTGCACTTAGGTTTGAAAGTAGAGGATGAGTCGAAAGTTGCCTTACACCCTTACAAAATGAACTAAGTTGTGTGGGGAAATTTTTGCGCAATAAGATATGTTATTCTTAGAAGCAGCCATGTTTGTGTGTCACCCAGATGGTTGCTGTCTCAAATTAAACATTTTGAGGTGAAATAAGAATGGGATTGTGAAACAAGGCCAGAATTTGAGAGAAATGCAACTATGTAATTGTTTTCCACCTAACTTTAATCAGTAAAAAGTTATAAAGAAATGAATCTAACCGATTCTTCCATTTCTGGGAGTGATAATAGTAATATGTTCTAATGCAAGAGAAATGTATCCTTATTATCCTGATAACTTGGTGAGGAGTTCATGTGACATAGACTCTAAGCATTACATGAATTTTTTTTCTACAATTTGGATTCATTCCTCACAAATTACTGGCATCTCACTGTTGTTTTATCACACCTAGAAAAGGAGAAATTGGACAGATGCATTTCTTTATAACTTTTCACAGATTAAAATTAGGTGGAGAACAAGTGCACCATTGCATTTCTTTTGAAATTTTAGCCTTGTATCACTAGTAATGGCTCTAGGATTTTCATTCTGGGAAGACAGAATATTATTTTAGTGGTGCATGTTTCATTTGTACATTTTATGATCAAATAAACTAATTTTTTTTTTAAATTTAGCAAATTGATTTTCAGTAGATATATAAACATCTCAAAGCCCGTTGTTGTTAATCAAAGCCAAATGATTGTCATAATAAATGGTGCTATTTTTCTGTTACTATTATAATTTAATTCTAAGTAATTTAGTGTTAGAGGCGGACATTAGGTGCCAGCTCTTAATTTAATTATAATTATGAAATTTAATAGTTATTAAATAATTTAGAGTATTGTGGAAAAAAGAATCAGCTGGCAGGATTCAAACCCACAACTCCTGTTTACTATGCAGATGCATTACCAGTTACGCTGCCTGATTCTCAGTGCGACTTCACTTCCAGACATATTTAATTTTAAATATAACCATCCACGGTTACTCATGTGCTAACTGGGAAAAACTCCTGTGCCCACAGCCTATAATCACCCACTATGGTACTCAGCTGACTATCACTTTACCCTGGCATAGGGTATATATACATATATAAACATCTCAAAGCCATATGATTGCTGTAATCAGGTTGTTTTTCCTCCTATTATTAATTATAATTTTACTATATATTTATACAAAAAAACTATAAATAAATTATACTTATTAAATTTAATAATTATAATTAAATAAGAGATGGTACCTAATCCCTACCTCTATTACCAAGTTGCTTTAAATTTAATAATTAACAGTAGCAGAAAAATAGCCTGATTCATTATGGCGATTGTTTGTCTTTGATTTACAGTAGGACATATAAGTGGAAAAAAGCATTTAGTGAGAACATGTAATTATTTAGTGAACAACTAATTCATATTTAAAAAACTCTTAATAATGGTCAATATAGATAGACATGAATGGGTCCTAGCCCACCCTAAAATAATTTATTCATGTGTATCACCTAACCTGTTTATCCTGCTATGTCCTTTCTCCTTCCTCCTCAGACTACACAATTAAAGTAAGGTCAGCCAAAGGTTAGGAAATCCAAATGTTGGAGGCATTTTTTTTGTTTACTTGTTGCGTGTATGCAAAAGATGGTGTTAATGACCTAATTCACCTTTACATGTGAATGGATTAGTGTTATTTACATGTATGTGGTTCCCTAAAAAAGAATTCGGTCATTGTTGGGCTAATATTTGAAAAACCATAGACCTGTAAATTTGCGCTGTCGTCCATCTGTTTTTCCTTAATCTCAAGAATGGAGTTAGATAGATGAAAGACAAGACCAGATATGGAAAAGTTAAGGGTGGGAGGCCCCAATTAACTATATACAAACTTCCCATACAAACCGGAAGTCATGTTATTTCAATTCAAAAATTTTTCCCCAAAAGGTATTAGATAGATGACTGGCACGACTCTATTTGTAAAGAAAAAGTGTAGTGTACGATGGAAAAAGTGTAGTGTACGATGGCAAGCCATTACTAATTTGAGGTGGCAAGCATATATTTTAAATTATTTTTATTCGTTTATGAATGATGATCATACATTCTTAGAGATTTATTGCATCTAACTTGTTTTTCAAATATTTTTTCTAATCGTTTTTCATTATTTCTAGAAAATTTGTTTCCTTTTAACGATATAAATTTTTCACCTATTTCTGAGGCAGGTTTAGAGAAACAAACAAAAAATGTTTGTTATTTAATTGATAAACCCATTGAATGGTTTGATTTTTGTTAGCATCTTCCTTTATTATACCACAGTATTCTAATACTTTGTTATCCGTCTCTACTTTATTTAAGTATATAGCTAAAACTAAGAATTTTGTGAGTCAACATAACGACGTACTACAAAAAATGACATTTAAAAGCAAGCTTCTCAAAATTTTAATATTTTANGGTTCCAAAGTTGCCAAACTCAAAATCACATTCATACCCATTACTGGTTGTAATATCAGTTCTTCAGTTTTCCTTAACATTATAACAGAGGTTGTTGATCTTTCTGACCTCATGGACCACTAAACTCACAATTTTGAATCCTGTGAATTGCTATCATGAATGTTTTTAACTGATAAAACAGAATAATGATCATGAACATTCCATTTTACTTTATTAATATGAAATTTACTTGTTTAATTATATCAAATTAGCATGAAGTTTGTTGCTGTTTGTTTGATATAAGTTTATGGATTTTTGGCTCTTTTTTTATGAAGGAAGACAATTGCACTCACAACATTATTTTATTGATAATAATCCTTAAGTGTTTGGTTTTAAATTTGAATAAAAATCTCCCCAATGAGTGAGAAAAAGCAACCAAGCATTTTGCATTTAATACTTCACATAGTGTTGAGTTGATCAATGTCCAAATTTCTCCACAGTTAGCCAAAATTATTTCACAGACCATAAATGGTCTATGGACCATCATTTGGCAATCGCTGCATTATAAATACAATACAGAGTAACTCCATTTGCAAGAAAATCCTAGTACCCAATTCTATATTCACAATACCAAATATAACCCACTTTTGATGATTTCACTCAATTACAATATTTGGATATTACTAATCAAATAATCAGGCTATGTTATGGCCAGTGGTGGACCTCCAGTGGTGGGATTTGCCTAGTTCTCACCAGTTTGGCAGATCTGTACCTAACTTTTTGTTGAGTTCGGCAAACTGGTTGTTAAAATGGCACTTGTAATCGGGATTCTCTCTAAAATGGGCACCTGGGCAGCTTCTCAATGTGGAAATCTCAAATTTACATCCTTACTTGTTTTTAACATTCATTTGTGTATCAGTGTGTCTTGTAGAAGGTCTAAATAAATTATTATATAAATTTAGAATTGTTGTGTTAGTTAATAAGAAATGATTTATGTAGAATGCATGTATACAGAGTTTAAAAATTTGTTTTTGCAGATGGGCGTCTTAATTTATCGGTTGCAGAAAGAACATTGAGAGAGGAAGAACAGTTGTAAGTTGTTAATACGTTGTGAAATGTCTCCTACATATAAAACTGTAAAAATAAACATAACTTTTAAAGGATGTAATTACCAATAACTTAGAAACTATTTGAAATATTTAATTTTAAATACTTAATCTCTAGGTACAGCATTTTTAAAGTTGTTTTAAAACTGTTAATTATGTGTGTAAATTTAGAAAGTGTTCAGACTGGTCGTAGGGCAGTTCCTGCAATTGCCAGAATGGCCAGTTCCAAGATGGGCCAGTACTGTTGAATTGTATATGTAAAAGTGTTGTTTGTTGAAATTTTCAAGTATTATTTATTAATTATATTTAAATGTAAATACTTATTTATACAAGTGTTATTTATTTTATAAATACTTTTCAGTTTGTTTTATTATTACAGTAGAACCTCGATTATCCGGACTAATTGGGGATGAAGGTAGTCCGGATAAGGGAAAAATTCGGATAATCAAAACAAATACTTTAATTTGTCTTTTAATGATAATACAACACATTTTCTTTTCAATGACAAATCGATACTATTAAAAGTAAATACTGTATTTGAACCATGATCAAATTTTTAAGAAACAAACGTTTGTATTGAATTTGGACTACTATTGACCAACGCTAACAGACTACCTATTGTTTAAAAGGCCCTCTGGTAGCGCAAGAAGACGGATTTTATAATTTGACAAACTATTTATCGTTTTATGACGAGTAAAATTTTTTCATCGCGTTTGCGGCTTTTAAGTAATGTATAAACCTTCGAAACGTGAGGCGCTTCGGACCGTGAGGCATAGGCGGTGGCCCACGTTGGCCCTTGGTCATAGAAATGATGTAATTTGAAAATAAATTATTTATAAATACGTATGTCAAGTTATATTTTTATTATGACGCAAAATATATTTAAGAGTTTACAGCCACTGTGCCGGGTGAGACTTTGTTGAAACAAAAAAAGTTATGCATTCCATCACGTACATAAACAATATCGTAATTCGCCAAGTGCAAATCAGCAAATTCGTAAAATTTTTGTTTATTTTGAACAATCCGGATAACCGAAAATCCGGATAATAGTTGTCCGGATAATCGAGGTTCTACTGTATTATTTTTTTAATATCTTATACTAGTTAGTAAGTGGGCCAGTGGTTCCAAAGTTGCCAAACTCAAAATCACATTCATACCCATTACTGGTTGTAATATCAGTTCTTCAGTTTTCCTTAACATTATAACAGAGGTTGTTGATCTTTCTGACCTCATGGACCACTAAACTCACAATTTTGAATCCTGTGAATTGCTATCATGAATGTTTTTAACTGATAAAACAGAATAATGATCATGAACATTCCATTTTACTTTATTAATATGAAATTTACTTGTTTAATTATATCAAATTAGCATGAAGTTTGTTGCTGTTTGTTTGATATAAGTTTATGGATTTTTGGCTCTTTTTTTATGAAGGAAGACAATTGCACTCACAACATTATTTTATTGATAATAATCCTTAAGTGTTTGGTTTTAAATTTGAATAAAAATCTCCCCAATGAGTGAGAAAAAGCAACCAAGCATTTTGCATTTAATACTTCACATAGTGTTGAGTTGATCAATGTCCAAATTTCTCCACAGTTAGCCAAAATTATTTCACAGACCATAAATGGTCTATGGACCATCATTTGGCAATCGCTGCATTATAAATACAATACAGAGTAACTCCATTTGCAAGAAAATCCTAGTACCCAATTCTATATTCACAATACCAAATATAACCCACTTTTGATGATTTCACTCAATTACAATATTTGGATATTACTAATCAAATAATCAGGCTATGTTATGGCCAGTGGTGGACCTCCAGTGGTGGGATTTGCCTAGTTCTCACCAGTTTGGCAGATCTGTACCTAACTTTTTGTTGAGTTCGGCAAACTGGTTGTTAAAATGGCACTTGTAATCGGGATTCTCTCTAAAATGGGCACCTGGGCAGCTTCTCAATGTGGAAATCTCAAATTTACATTCTTACTTGTTTTTAACATTCATTTGTGTATCAGTGTGTCTTGTAGTAATGTTCGTTCCGTTCATAGGTAAACAAAATTTGACTGAACTATTGTAATATTTATTTATTCATTTCATAAAACTCATTATACCTTCTGTTAAATACTATATTTATATTCCCTTGCATTTTTTAAGTTCAAAACATAATAATATGGCACTGTTTAAATCATTGCCTCTATCATGTTTTAGACAATTTGATAAAAGAAATAAAGCAAGTAAATCATTTTGAAATATTTATCCAAACAACTTGGAATTGAATTGATGAAAAATAGTATATAAGAACCAAATTGAATGTTCCAAAATATCCAAACAACTTGGAATTGAAATTATAAAGATTGATAGAGTTTTGAGACCAAGATGGGCTACCTGTAGTTTAAGGTCAACCCTAGCTGTGTGAAATGCTTATCCAGCACTACAAGACTTTTTTATTCAAATAAAAAGTACCTAGATATAGCTGTCTGTATTGAAAATATATATTTTATAACTGATTTTCGCATTGATGATTGATATGTTAAACAAAATTTCTCTTCTTTCAAATGCACTGCAAGAAAGAAATAGACATAATAAAGGCCAAATAACTTGTGATAAAATCTATTAGAACATTTCAAACATTGGAAAAGAAAAGGGTCTGTATGAAAAAAGTGGATGAATTAATTACTTCAGTAATCTTAAAAATATATAAAATTTGTAGAAAATCATAATTCAAAGAGCTAAAAATATTGTCAGAACAATTGCTGTAAGTTCAGCTGAAGCGGAAAGGGGTTTTTCAAAATTGAACATATGTTCAGAGAAGAGAAGTGACAACTGTTTATATATCAAACAAAATGACTATTAGTCTAATTGGCCTACCTCTAAAGGAATGGGATCCTACTACAGTGAAAAGATGGTTAAGGAAAAATCACACAGCCGATGATAAATGCAAAGAAAATTGGAAGTGAGGATGCCAATCAAGAAGCAATATGGAGCTATCTTAAACAACAGTTTCATTGTTTTTTATCAGGCCATTTTTAATATTTTTTCTTATAACATAATTTAGTTTCATGTATCTTTTTTATTGTTCTTATTTAAAGTATTAACTGCATGAAATAAACCACCTTTCAGTATATCACATTTTTTATACTTAAAACGGTTATTAGGGCAGCAAACTGGTCGTTAAATTATTTTAATCCCATCACCGGTTATGGCAAATTAAATATACAAATGATATGTAATTTCGAAGTTACCATCCTACATTAAATTTAATAATTAGAATTAAATAAATAATTTATAATATTATGGAAGAAAAGATCAATCCTGAACAAGACTTGAATGTACAACTTCTACCTACCGTACAGATGCATTGCCAGTTATGCCATCCAGACCTCTTATCTTTGCTTTCAGATTAAATTAATTAGAAAATATAACCATACAGATCACTTGCTGCACCAACTATCAATAACTATGCACCCGTGACCCTGTGCGGCACTCGATCAACTACATGCATTGTACTGAGATGAAAGTTTGTGCTCGTGTAATGATTTATGCTTGGTTTCTTACATGAATATCTGGATAGGTCTGGTCCCGATAGTCATATAAGAACTAGTTCTTTTACCATCTGTCTCATTGTGTGCCTAGTAAAAATGCTATTTTATTGTCACAGAACAGAGTCAAAAATGAAAAATATATGAAAAGAACTTTCTAAGATAAGTCATTTTTTAATTTTTTGAGTTATGATATAAAACAAACAATTTTTTTGTTGTAGTGTAAATTATACATTACAATTTTTTATAAATTAAATGTATGATAGTTTATAGCAGGGGTTGCCAGACTTTTTTATCGTCTATCCCCTACAACTTTTCGAAACCTCACGTCGACCCTTACCAAAAAGTTTGTTACAAGAAAAAATGTCTTGCTATTTTAATACATTAATTTTACATTTTTTACATTTATTGTATATATGTGAAATACTAAAATTAAATGAACATCAGCTTAAAAACGTCTGTAGAGGTGCTAATAACGTCAGCGTACTGAGAATCAGACACAAGCTTACGAATGATGCGGATGATTGACATGTAGTATGTAAGTAAGAACCGGAGCATGGACTCGGAAATTTCTGTTTGTCCTGTGTGACTTGATCAGTAGCCATTTTACACATTGACGGGTAGCTGTACTATTAAATTCATTGAAACGATATTCAAAAACATAATATTATATCCGTAATAAATATGTGTAGTTATATTTGTTATTTTTAGTTTCAATTTTTCAATCGACCCCCAAAAATGTTATATCGGGTCGATCTCGACCACTTTGGCAACCCCTTGTTTATAGCAATGGTTTACAATCTTTTGAAAACGGTTTACTTTTGTGAGCAGATACTTTTGGTGGAATACTTACAAATTAAATTAAGAGTATTTCTGAAAAAACAATTTAATCAAAAAGTCAGTTCTTTTATTATATATATATAATCATTAAAATTTTATAATACTTTATTTAATATATTACATTGTGATACATATATATTTCATAGCAGTTTTCAATCAACAGGAAAAAATACCAATTACTGGTGAGATAATACAAAAATAAAATTGTATAACACTTTCAAAATAAAGAAAGATAAAAAAATAACAATATAAAGTATGAATGAATATGAAAGAAATAAAGAAATTTAATAATTAATTTATTTTTCTAATTAAATCTCTTGATAAATTTAATAGTTTGATAGTTTGGCATGTTTAATTTTTGAACTAGTCAATGATGGGAATACAAATTTGTTTGTCGAACTAGATTTATAATTACATTATTGAATGATTTGAAGCATGTGCTTCAAATGATGCTTCATAATGCTGTGTGTTTAGTTATGCTTTCTTCTAATAATTTCAAAAGTTCCAGTGTTTAAGAAATGAATTCTTAATTATCTTTATTTTGTAGGGATGGAAACATCTCTAGATTAAAAAAACAAGTCATAGAAAACAGTAATCTTTTTCT